GTTTTTGAATTCCGTACTCAGACTAAAGTTACAGGCTACAGTGGCTTTGTGTTCGTGCTTGGAAAGCATGAACAGGGCTTTAGTGGCGGCCAGTGTAGCGGATCTCTGGTTGGCCTGTGAGATCAGCCCCTTGGCCTGTTCTCACAGGCATGTGTTGTATTCGGGGTAGTCCAGTCCAGGCCGGTACCTCTGTCGGTACCAGGCAGTCCAGTCCAGTCCAGGCAGTCCGCTGGGGTATACCCCAGCCAGAGTCTGTATTTCGGACCATTCTGCATTCGCACAGTTTGGGAGCTGCGCTGTGCCATCTTACTCCACTCTCATCCTCCATCTCCATCTCTATCCCAGGCGGAGCACCACACCTGGCGGGTCCGCCACACTGGTATCAGAGCGGGATCGTTCCCCGCTCCCACCCACCACACCTTGTAGCAGGAAATACAACAAAACCCGACACAGGGTTTGTTGGCTGTTTTTCGGCCGCTCCCAGCGGGAAAAAGGCGACAGAACGTGGAGCAGCGAAGGATCGACACGTGGCGAGAAAAGAGAGATAGAGCAACAACTCGTGCGCGCAAGCGCCAAGGCCAAGGCCGCCGCACACGCACGTGCCACGTGCCCCCGCCCCGCCCCGCTCACGGATTATTTATCATCAAGATCCGGGATGCATGCTGCTGCTAGGGTTTGAACCTGGGCAGCTGCTGGCCATGCGCGTGCGAAGCTGCTGCCATGTGTGGCTGTGTACTGCGGCACGCTGGTGTTGAAGAAGTGCTGTGCCAGCTCTTTACCCCCCCGGTGGCGAGCGGCGAGCACCGGCCAGCAGGGCAGGGCTGCTATTTGCTCCTCCCCCCCCCCCTTGGCTGCTGCTGCCTGCGCATGTGGCCATCTGCGGTGCCACGTGGCAGCTTGCTGTGGAGCTGAAGACCCCCCTGATCAGGGGGCTGCTCTACAGTGGTGAGGGTCTGCTCACACAACATACCTTGGATCTGTAGTACTGCTGCTAGGGGCTGATCAAAATCTCAGCCCCACTCTCCTCTAGCTGGCTTGCTGCAGCGAAGGCCAAGACCCTCGTGGTCTTGGTATACCTTGTGCCCTTGGAGACACAAAGGGCCAGGTATCACCTCCCTCTTCCCTCTGCTCCTTGATCTCCTCGCCGCCAAAACGGTGGCGCACCACTCGTCCGCTTGACGGACATTGCCTTGTATGAGAGTACAGGGATACGCGTGTCTCGGTGGCTGCAGTCTGCCAACCGCACGCTCCAGCTCATAGGCGTCCCACCTGACATGTGGGTGGCTCACCTCTCCACGCGCCTGCATGGCGGTCCTTTCGACGCCTGGGAGGATTTCTACACCCACTCCCTTCATGAGGGTCGGACCCCGACCTTCATGGATTTTCAGGCGTTCCTTGAGGATTGCTTCGGAGCCCGACATAACGTGATTGACGCCTTCGAGCGTGTTGTCAGTACACGTTGGCCCGGTTGTGGTGGCGCTGCTGGCCTGGACCCACATCCAGGTCTTTCAGGACGCCCACTTCGTTTGTGATGTGGCGTTCCTCCCCGAGGCTGCCGTCATCGATCGTTTCTTGGCCACCCTTCCCCTTGAGTACCGCTCAGAGTTACGGCGATATGGCTTCACATCAGCCCCGCAGGCTTACGAGGGCGCCAGGGCCCATCAGCGGCTGCGGGCCCGTCTTCAACACGCTTCCTCCTCCCAGCCTCAACGTATTGGTTATGCTCCCTCCTCCTTTCACGACACTTCCCAGCGTCGTTCCCCTTTCCACGGTTGTCCCTGCCGTTCCGTGCAGTAGGGACGTCACTTCTCGCACCGCTTCAGCGCGCTAGAGTATGGTGAGCAGGACGCTATCGCCCCGCTGTCGCCTGAGGGTGACCACAGCGACGACCTCAACCTCTCCGAGGCCGTCCACTACCACCTGGAGGACGTTACTCTCCCTATAGTCGAGCGCTTCCAGTTCGCCCTCTCCACCCTCTCTCGGGCACACAGCCGCTCTGGTCACGTTGGCGCGTTGTCCCCCGAGGTCCCTCAGCAGGAACTCCCTCAGGGCTGTCCCTCCTTGCGGTGTCCTTTTCGCTGAGGAGCGCGCGGCCATTTTGGGCTGGCGTGGGTGTTTGCGTTGTCGCCAGGACTGTCATACCTCGCGTTGCCCTTACACCGCCGCCCTTGACCTCCACTACGCTGAGCTCTCTCTCTAGCGTCGCGCTCAGTCCCCCCCTGGCTCCTTGCGTCCCCGCGGCGCCTCCTAGCCACGATGCAGTGTACACCTGCGCCCTCCTCAATAGTCGGCTTCCCGACATCTTCGTCGCGATTTGCCCTTCTCGCTATCGGAGTCGAGGTATCGCAGGACCCGACAGAGTGTACTCAGCCCTCTGTCTTAGTACCGTCTGTGCCTCCGCAGACCACCGTCTCCCCTCCTACCTCTTCGCGACTACTGAAGCGTGGAGCCCCTCGCTCAACCCGTTGCAATGAGAAGCTTGCGACTCGCGAGGACGTTGTGTCCTCCCTTTTGGACTTGAGCTGCTCCAAGCTCGTCAGGAGCGACTCACCCTCCATGTCGCTGCACTGCGTTGCCTTCTCGCCATCCACTCTAACCCTGATCGCACCTTTCGGATCATTCCAGTATGACTGGGGGCCTCCACGAGGGTGTACTCAGCGCTGTGGGATTTCGGTTCTCAGGGCGACTTCATTCACCCACAAGTGGTGAAAGAAGCCCGCTTACCCACGATAGGGTCTTGGACTCCCATCTCCGTCACCCTAGGAGATGACAAGACCCAACGCTTTTTCGATCAGACGATCATCGATCTTTCTTTTTTTCTCACTCTCGAGCCGACTAATCCTCCCTCGGTGTCTCGTCGCCACCGCTTCTCTGCACATTTCGATGTGATGAAGACAGGGTACGATTTCATTATCGATACTCCATGGGACTGGGGGCCTCCACGAGGGTGTACTCAGCGCTGTGGGATTTCGGTTCTCAGGGCGATTTCATTCACGCACGTGTGGTGAAAGAAGCCCGCTTACCCACGATAGGGTCTTCGGCTCCCATCTTCGTCACCCTAAGAGATGACAAGACCCAACGCTTTTCCGATCAGACGATCACTGATTTCCCTTTTTTCCTCACTCTTGAGCCGACTGATCGTCCCCCATCGTCCCTCGGCGTCTCGTCGCCACCGCTCCTCTGCACGTTTCGATGTGATAAAGACAGGGTACGATTTCATTCTCGGTACTCCATGGTCTCGTTGGTTCCGAAGCACCGAGGCCGATTGGGCGACCAACACTCTCGTTCTCAGAACGAAGTGTGGACAAACGTATCACGTACCTTTAATAGGTACCACTGCGACACCACGCCCCAATCCTCCTCCCCCGGAGCCTTCCGTGCCCACACCATCTCCTAGTATCATCGTCACCTCGCCTCGGCAGTTCGCCCACTTCATCCGACATGACGACTTCATCTAACAGGACGACGTCACCTTCTTCACGGTGAACGTTACGGATCTCTTGCAGTATGATCCAGCTTGTCCAGACGCCGAGCTCATCTCTTTGAAGCCAATTCCTCCTATCTCCATGACTTTCGTTTCTACTTCCCTCCCTCCGTCGTTCGTCGAGTCCGCCGTCACTCGCTGACGCTGACGTTGAAGAACTCGCACGCTATACGGCCGACCTGGAGCCCGCAGTTCGTGACATCGTTCGAGAGTACCACTACGTTTTCCCATCGTCGTTCTCGTACGCCGGCATCCCACCGATCCACGACGTCGAGCACTCCATCCAGCTTGTGCCTGACTATCGTGTTCACCACCAGGCATCCTACAGACTCTCGATCCTCGAGGCCACCGAACTCGAGCGTCAGCTTGAGGAGCTCCTGAGACTGGGTTTCATTAAACCCAGCAACTCCCCATGGGGTGCACCCATCCTCTTTGCTCGCAAAGCGGATGGAACTGTCCGTCTTTGCATCGATTATCACGGGCTCAACCGCTACACGGTTAAGAACAACTCCCCCATGCTTCGTTCCGACGAGTTGTTCGACCGCCTAGCAGGCAATCGCTTCTTTATGAAGATTGCTTTTCGTAGCAGTTACCATGAGATCCGCGTCGCTCAGTGGACCAGCCGAAGACAGCATTCCGATCGTGCTTCGGCCACTATGAGTTTACGGTGATGCCATTCGACCTCACCAACGCAACCGCTACCTTCCAGAGGGCGATGAATGACATCCTTAGGGCCGTCCTGGAGCAGTATGTTCTCAGACCTTGATGATATCCCGATCTACAGTCGTACTCTTGAGGAGCATCTCAGACACCTCCGCGACGTCCTTGACCGCTTGCGCAAACATGGTTTTTACGTCAAGCTGAGCAAGTGCCACTTTGCCCAGCACAAAGTGGATTTCTTAGGACACTACATGTCTGATCAGGGTTTCCAAATGGACGACGCGAAGATCACTGCTATTGCATAGTAGCCCGCCCCCACATCCGCCAAGCAGCTTCGCAGCTTCCTAGGCCTCACTAGTTACTATAGTAATTTCACCCAGGGATACGCTAGGTATTCCTACGTCCTTACCTCCACCCTCCTTCGGAAGAACCCGCCATGGGCTTGGACACTTGTCCACGAGGATGCCTTCCGCGCCCTCAAGAAGGCGTTGACATCGGCACCGGTTGTTCCCCTACCCGATTTTGATCGCCCTTTGCACCAGACTTTGCTGTAGGAGCAGTGCTTTCTCATATTTTCCCCTCTCTTGATTCCTCTCATCCTCACATCCCTCGCTTCCTACCCCTTACCCTTACTATTGCTTCCCGCCTGACGCCTACTCGTCCAGCTACTGACGAGCCTTCTATTGAGTATTCTCCTACCATCGCCGAGGACGATACTGTCGAGTCTCGCTCAGGTGTTTGTCTGATAGCCTTCTACTCCCGTCAGCTCCTGCCCGCCGAGTTAAACTACAACGGTGATGAATGTGAGGTTCTCGCAGTACTTTATGTCGCTCGACATTAGCGTCACTACGTGCACGGGGCACCATTCAGGGTGCGCACGGCCAACTCTTTTGTCCAGGCTTTTCTGACAAAGCGAAAGCTCACTCCTCGACAGGCTCGTTGGTGGGGCGACCTATTCGAGTTTAGTTTCACCACTGAGCACATAAAGGGTGAAACTAATCGGGTCGCAGATGCCTTATCCCGACGCCCTGACCATAATCTGGAGCAGATCCAGCTTGCTGCCATCTCGGTCACCACCGTCCACCGAACAAGACTCTCAGAAATGTTCCCCGAAAGACAAACAGCAGTGGGATCTCCGTCTCGCCCACGCGGAGATAGCCTACAACCACGTCATCTTGCCACCCATGGGGATGTCACGTTACTATTGCGACATCGGCTATCACCCTCGTGTTCCCGCGGACTTCCTTCGACCGTCACAGATGCACCCCGACATGAGTTGTCCCGCACTGGATGATTGGGTTGCACACATGATGTCGATCATGAAGACCGCGCAAGAGCACATAGCTGTTTCCCAAACTCGCATGGGCGCATGTGCGAACCGATCGAGGATGGATCATCCATTCAAAGTCGGTGATGATGTTCTTATCGATGCCCGCCACTGACAGCTCGAAGCGGACACGCTTCGCAAGTTGTGACGTCACTTCTTTGGGCCATGCCGCATTCTCCAGGCCGTTGGTTTTGATACGGCATCTAGCCCGGTCAGCTTCCGTGTGAAGCGCCCGACTACCTACGCTAGACTCGTGTGCACGATGTCCACCACGTCTCGTTACTGCCTCTCTACCGCAGAGTGTTTGAGTGTATCACTGGACGACCATTCGAGTGCCCTCCACCGATCATGGTGGATGGCCACGAGGAGTTTCTCGTTTCAGACATCATTCACCGATGATAACTCTCCCCATGTTGAGTATCTTGTACGTTGGAAGGGTTACCCTGATGAGGAGGCTACTTGGGAGCCCCTCGAGCACTTGCAGCACGCTCGGATGTTGGTGCGTGCCTATGACAGTGCTCGTCGTGCTGGGTTGATTGCTCCTCCTCAGCCCACTGACCCTCCTCCCTCGGCTGAGGAGACCGCTGAAGTTGAGCCTGCTCCATTTGAGGCAGACCTTCAGCAGCAGCCGGATGCTTTTGAGCGTCCATAGCGCACTCGTCGTCGTCCTGCTCGATACAACGATTGACTATGACTTATCTTCCCACGTCTTTGACTTCTCAGTACTCCATCCACTCCAGTTTTGCCACTTCAGCTCGTCGTCGTTGTGGCTCTTTCTGGACAGCATTCCGAACTTCTCATCATGGACATCCTCGACAGCTTCACGACCTTCGTCACGATCAACTCTGCATACTTCAGACCTCGTCACTCTCTTACCACCTTACCTTGTACAGTACCCTGATTGTGTTGCATGATGGTCTCCCTTCGCCGGGTTCCTCTGAGTTGGGCTCTCCCTTGGTATATGCACAGGCATCGGGACCGTAGCGTTGCCCCGACTTTCCAGCTTACGGATCCAGCTCCAACTTTCCCCACCGTAGGAGTCATTTGCATGATTCCCTTACCCATCACTTTTTCTACCCTCTGTCGGCCCTCACGCCCAGCCTTGCATGCTTCATCTAGGTGCGCCCAGTATCCCAGGCTCTCTTATTCCCTTGCATGGTCGACCCTCCATAGCGGTCACCCCTTCAGTTGAGCATTACCCGGTTTGCTCCCAGTACCCTACCCTCATTGAGCCTGATGACATGTGTCTTTCTGTCATTATGTGTGGATGCCCTTAGGAGTTTATCGACCCCTAGGCTGTATTCGCCACCCTCAGAGACCATCCCACCCTTTGGTTGCTATCAGACTGAGTCTACTGCCTCTAAGATTCCTAGGATTTAGTTGTTTCTGCTTTTGCTGTTCTGAGGACTTATACACTAGTCAGCTGTTTCCAGATTGAGGCTACTGCCTCCAACATTCTAGGATTTAGTTGTCATTACTTTCTGCTTTCCTAGGACATGTATACTAGTTAGTTGCTTCTGCTTTCACTTAGGCTGTTAGCTGTGACATTGCTGTTTTTTTGTGACGCTTTCTATCCTAGGTTGCATCGCATGGACTCAGCATGGAGCTTGCTCCGCATCCTAGAGTACTTGGGTTTTCAGCACCTTTCAAACCCTTTGAAACATCACTCCCTCCTGCAAAAGTGGGCCAACCCCAATTGAGGAGGAGCAGGTGCCCAAGGATCTAGTGGTAAGCAGGTCATCTGTGAACATGTAGTTGTGGTTCAAACCTTGGTTATTCCATCCCTAACTACCCCCCCCCCCCCCGCCTTAACCCACCCAACCTACCCCCCCCCCCACACACACACATCTCCAGCCTGCAGGATGAGGTAGGAGTTGTTGGCTTTTTCGCTTTAAAATTTTTGAAAATATCAAAAGTGGATAAAGTGTAGTACCGGTCCTGATGAGTTAACCTTACTGTTTCATTTGTGCTTTCACTTGTGTCTGTTGTCGTTTCCTAATTTCATCTTTCGCGTTGACGACGCTACAGTCTTCCCCCGAATACAACGCACGGTCATTATAGCTGAATTTAGACTGAAAAATAGACCAAATTCAGCCCCACCGTGCGTTGTATTCGGGGGAAGACTAGGTTTGTTCAACTTTGTTGCTCTATAAACATTATTTTCACCACCTGCACTTGCATCTGAATATGGTTTATCGTATACTGCCATGGTCTTGACCTTTTCGTTTTTTAGGTGAAGCCTGTGAGGGATAATGTGCTGGAGGCTGTGCAGTTATGGAAAGAAGTGCCTTCTCCACCAGTTCAAGAGGGGTCAACCGCGGTGTTGGATCCTGATAACAGGCGAGGCTCGGGTGCAAGCGACATGTCAAACTCAAGTGAGTGTGAAATGACCATTTTCTAGCTGATGGTGCCCCTTCTTTGTGACAGCCAATTTTCCCACTGAGAGACTGAATGTTTCAAAGCGCATTACATTGCATGCCCATGATATGATGATGAAAGCGCCTTACATTGCATGCCCATGATATGATATGATGAAAGCGCCTATCCACCAGGCAACATTGTACATGCATCTGGACTGTTCTTGGACCAGGTTCGTTCGTACTGATCAAACATATTACCAGGTCCAGATTCTTAAAAGAATGTGCGGCGCAGTTGAGCAAGGCCTGCCGACCGAAGAGAGCATGGGGAATAAGGAAGTTTACAGCAAGAGATGGATCAATCAATCGACATGATTACCGTGCTCACCCGAATAGAACTCCTGGTCAGTATAGCTGTATCTAGACTGAAAGGTGCCCCAAATACAGCTATAGTGCCTGGGCGTTCTATATGGGTGAAGACAGTAAATTGTTAAGTTGCGCAGGTTGCAGTATGGCTTGTCTTGGTTCGCAGACGTTTGGCACGAGTCCGTCCAGCATGCGCGTGGCAGCTGAGTGTTGGACAAGTCACTAGTGGTCTGTAGATCAGAAGTTCAAATCCTGATTGATGGAAGTGATGTCAGGTGTTATTCTATATAGAAGTAGTCCTTCAGGAGCTCCTTGCTGTTGTTCTCTGAGTCCACGCTTGCGATGAAATGTAGCGCAGATGGCATGGGCAGCTTTGTGGATGCGACGACAAAGGGCGATAATGTGATGCTGGGTGTGTAACAGAAGGAAGAGACAACTAAATGTTGATGTACCACCTATTGCCATGAAAGGAGCCCTTCACGGACTTATACCCTCGACCGGATGACAATGAGATAACCAC